CTATCATGGCAGGAGTTTTTAGCGATAAAAGTGATATGCCTGCTACCACCTGTGCCGTTATGTTGATTTTAGCAGCTCCAATGGTAAGCATAAAATATTGATGATGGTTTGAAATAAAACGTCATAAGATGCGGTCAGTTCGATGTGACAATATATATAAATTGATATAATGAGAGACAAGGTACATAGTGTCTATCATTGTTTAGTATTCTGATAGAAAATGTCAGCAAAGTTGTTTAAGGCAAATATGCTAGTGCTCATCGACAAGAAAAGAAGCAAAAAAGAAATTTTATCGTTTTAGTTCATAGCTTACTGGTTACAATACAATATGCAATTAATAATTACTATGCCCTGTTAAACCAATAGTCTCTCGTCATTTTGGTGGTGCCTCTGACTGAATAACATTTTACGATATACTAAACCGTCATGGTTTTAGAGGTTGATGGATTTAGCTAACATTACTAGATTGATGTTTTTATCACGTTTAGATGATTCAATGAATAAGCAGCATATTTAAACAAATCGTATAAACTGTTTGATTAGTGTTTTTTTCCATGACTATGTGATCCATTTGAGTTATGTTTCAGATGGTTGTGTATGAAAGAGTGAGTAGCGTCAGCATAGGCGTGAATATGATTCTCCTAATTATGGTAGGAGTCTTAGTCAATGGTCCATATTCATTGATAACGACTGCTGTATCTGCGGAATTAGGAACTCATCATAGCTTAGAGGGGAATTCTAAAGCATTAGCTACTGTTACAGCTATTATAGATGGCACGGGTTCAATAGGTAAGTTTCAGTTGATTAGTAACATTTAGATATATTTCCTGTAGTAAAAGCCTGAATCTCTAAGGAAGGGGTTGTGAGTGAGTGACTGAATGTTGCAAGTTTGACAGGAGATTGTACATTCCTTATGGCAAATGGCTCCTACAAGCATAACAATGTCTTGAGAAAATCGATAAATGCTTCTAACAGCATGCTAACTTGCAGTAGATCAGGTCAAAACAGCGTTGAATTTATATTACTTTACTAATCGACGTCTAAAGTGACCATAGGGTCGCGCTGTCGTTTATAGTGAAATTATATATATGAATTTGTACAGGGTGGCCAATATATAACTGACTGATTTAAATTGCGCACCATTTTTGATATACACATCTCATTAGGTGGCGCCATAGTAGTTGTTTAAAGCACATCTGTCCAATTCATCATGGAGCGCTACACCATCCCACAACACGTCCGTATTGTTAAAATGTTTAGGTCGAAATAATGTCCCAGTGTCAACACCATTCGTCAGTTGGTGTGCAAATTTGAGCAAACAAGTGAAGTTTGAGACTTGCCAAGGTCGGGCCCTGTTCGTACTCCGGAAAATACCGAGAGAGTTCGTGAAAGTGTAGTGGAGCGGCCTGAGACTTCTACCAGACAACGTTCTCAAGAACTGGTTATTCGTCGCACGTCATTATGCACTATTTTAAAAAAATACTTGCATTTGCGGCCATACGAAATTCAGTTAACTACAGCCTAGTGACCATGAAAGTCGCGGACAATACAGTCATGAAATATTGCAGCTTAAGATCCAAAATTGATAATGAGCGATGAAGCCCACTTCGATATGAACGGATTTGTTAATAAGCAGAATTGTCGTATCTGGGCATTAGAGAACCCTCGTGTCATCCATCAACGACCACTGCATCCTCGTCGAGTCACAGTTTGGTGCGGTGTTTGGTATGGTGGTATCATTTTACCTTACGTCTTTCAAGATGATGCAGGTAATTCTCCTACTGTTACTGGCGAGCGCTACCGTGATATGGTGCAAAAGTTTTTGGCTCCTCAAATCCAACAATCTATTCTACAAAACGTGGTTCCAGCAGGACGGAGCAACTTGTCACACAGCTAGGGAAACAATGAATCTTTTGCGAACAATATTTCCGGCACGTTTAATTTCTCGGCTTGGTGATGTCAACTGGCCACCAAGGTCACCGGATTTTATGGCTCCTGATGTTTCTTATGGGGATTTTAGAAAAATAGGGTTTATGCCAACAAACCAAATACTGTAGAGCAGCTGCAGAACAATATTACGGAACCGATTGAAATTATTCTTCCCGAAACCTACCAAAAAGTGATAGAAAATGTAATCAAGAGGGCTTAGGTTTGCGCGGCTTCTAGAGGCGGACATTTGTCCGATATTATTTTTTCATACATAACTTCTAAGTTTCAATAGAACATTAAGATAAAAAAAAATGGGCGTATTTTATTTCATTTCACAAATATTCAAGATACAAACCAGTCAGTTACATATCGACAACCTGTACATATCAAAATCGCGTAGAGGATAGAATAGCAGCCAGTTTGAACAAAAATTATTTTTAACGAGAATTTAACGATTTGGTCCAATAAAAAAATAACTAGAAAATGTGTCTGAAAATCCGCCAACATTCAGTAGATGGGTCAAATCGGCAGTATAGTAGGTATACAAGGACCACACACCCACATAAGACTTGATCAGGATTTTTTGCTCTAAGGAATATGCCATCTCCTTTAGTTTATTTTAGGGGTGGCTGGTCATATCTGTGACTCATGATAAAAATAGATAGATACTCAACCAAAATATTCTTTTAGGTGCAGCAGTAGGTCCACTCCTTGCTGGCTTTGTTTCATCGTATGGTTGGAAATACGTTTTTCTGATGCTTATGGCGGCAGATCTCTGCGCCTTTGTCTTATTGTTGAGGCTAGTAAAGCAAGAAGTTGTGAAATACCGCAGTACGAGGAGATCTGCTAGTCGAATAGAGTAATTTGCACGCAGTCAGTATGATACCGCTAAATTGGAACACTAGCTAAATACTGATAAGTACATACTGCCTTTCTAACAAGACATTGGTACCGTTCAGTTGCTAAGAGTTAGCACTTCGTGAAATATGGTTTGGCTCCGTTGCTAAATAATGCTCGCAATCAACTGAATCTAATGACAACTAGTACATCTACGTGACATACGTCAGTTCTTCCAATTAACCTGATTTTCAAAATTTTCTATGCGATTCATTCAGAAGACTAGGCTAAGTCATACTTTACTCAGCGCTAACTCTCAGCAGTTAAGTGCAACTGAACATAAATAATCTTGTCATCTATATATATTCCCTGTGATGCTCGAGTTGAATATATATAGTGGTAGTGTCATGCTGTATGTAGGAGAGAAAGTGGAAAAGCCGTTATCATCTTCAAAGAATCTATTTCAGTAAAAGCGATTTCTCATAATATGATTTTCAGTATACCTACACAAAAAAAAAAGTTTACAGTTGTACAACATTCACGGTCACGGTTTGCCAGTCTTCAGATTATGTTTCAGATGGCATCTGACATAAAAGCTCTACGACTTTCATCTTCTGAATATCCTTTAATACATGCTTTTTGAACAATTCTTTCAAGTCACATTAACGGTTCACTTCTCTCAATCTTAGTAGAATATAAAAAGCAAAATAAAAAAGTGATTCGTGAATGTACAAAGTATTTTATACATTGAGTAAATTTAATTTTATTTATGGAGACTTTATATTTTTATAGATAGCTTTATTGAAACGTTATTTATGAATTTTTTTCATATTTTTAAAAGCTATGAGTGAATGCAGGATTCTGTTCATGTATATACTCGTATTGCAGCAGTAAAATCACGAGCATGTGGATTATTACTACAAAATTGGGTAAATCAGCTCAGTTTTTAGTCTAGCTAATTATTTGTATAAAGAAGAGCACCTTTTAAAGTACCAGACACAAAATATATGGAATTTGACCACCAGTCAATTTTAAAGAAAATCCAAATAGTGATAGTTCATGTTGTGCTGGTCAAATGTTAAAGTGGGCTCAAAGCTCAAAAATGCTTCCTATTGGAGATAGAGAGTGCTAAAGTTTGGTGCCTTAGCCTGTAGGTATGCCTGCCTGCATCATTTCACAAAAATTAACTTGTTTTCAATGTGTTCAGGGAACTTAACAATATAATAAAAATCACATGCAGTTGCAATATATACAGGGCGTTTCAATGAAAATGGAAAGTTGTTTAATAGAAGAGCTATACAAGATATTTGAAAAATTAGTTGGACATATACAGGTTGTTGCACAACTCTGTGACGTAACAAACATGTATTTGACTGAAAAAACTGCCTATCCTTGAATACTAACATTTTACGCAGTTTTCGCTGAATTTTGAAACGATGCCGCAAAATGTAAAACCTTTGTAACAACAACAACAACTTGTATATTTTTACAGTATCAGATTTGCGTTTTTATGTTTACCATGATCTCAGGTTTAATACTGCTTTACTATTATTTGTTATCTGATTATATATAATGAATGATAAGATGTTTCACTAAAAAAAAACTTATCCTTCTGCTACGGAATTGTGCAACACCTTGTAGATCTCGAAATAATTTAGAAATACATACCTTTAAGAAGTCCTTCTTGCTGAATACATTTCTAATACCTTTTATAGTTTTTCTATTGAAGTACTTTCTATTTTCGTTGGGACTATAGTATTTTCATTAAACTGTTAAGTCAATAAAGATAGTTAGCTTTCATAAAATGGTGCAGGCATACCCACAGGGGCTAAAGCACCAAACTTTTACACCCCATATCACCAATAGATAGCATTTCTGGGCTTTGCACCCATTAGAACAGTTGATCAGCTCTACATGAACTATGTGTTGTGCCTAGTACTTCGTTCACAAATCAAAATATTTGAGATTATTATTTAAACAGTAGGATGTTGAAAAAATGTCCATTATCCAGACAGGCTACTGTTGCTGCTGGTTTTGGGGGTGCTTATATTGATGTTGCCACCTTTTGTGTTGAAAAATTAAGACAGCTGAAGTGTGTCAACCATTTCTACATATTAGATATCAAGAAACAAAGAAAATTTTGATTCAATAGTGGTTAGAATGAATTCTAATATAAGGTTTTGTAACCTTATGTGTAGGGTTTTACACATCTCTTTGAAAGAATAGTTTTGTGTCTCGGCATTAATATTTTTATTAAAAAATGTTACATAATTTGAATAGAAGTCATAGTATATATGTTAGATAGGAAACATGTTTTAATGTTCTACTGTTGGGTGGAATATCATTTAAGGTGATAGTTCACCTTCTGTTTGTTTAAAAAAAAAGTCACATGTTACTATTACATAGTAATATAATATTGTGTGAGTTCTTGAAATAATTTTATGAGTATATAATGACCAGACTGCATTTTAGTAAAATTGTTTTATTGAAATACCACTGTGTTTAGCTAAAATTGTGTTTCATGTACATATATATGAAAATTAAATAAATTATTTTTTTAAAAGTATCCTATCATTTTCAAGGGGTTCCAACTGGAATTATAAATGATATATAATCAGCAAATGCTCCCCATCTGGCTCTGTTGAGCTGGAATGTTGTTACCCATGAAACTATCAAGATCAACCATATTGAAGATCCTATTCCAGAAAATATCACATCTGGAAATTTTAAAATAAGTTACAATTCAATATCTGAATTCGGTTTGCATAAAAAATTACTCTATACCCTATTTCACGAGTATCCATCATCGTTGAATGACAGGTGGTTATCTAGTAATAGTTCAAAATTCCCCATATCGACACAGGCCAGAATTCTGACAGATCCATCAACACTCGATAGAGATAGAGCAGTATTTTGTTTTTGTTTTTGGTACGATACAGATTCATTTTGTACTAGCTAACAGCTCTTTTATCTAGAAAAGTTCATTTGCATACAAAAAAAAAACGCCACAAGCAAGTTTTACTAGATTTATACCTGATTCATTATTGCCATAATTGTAGACTAACAGAAAAATGTCACTTGCTGATCAGCTGTTCACCTCAGTAGACGTCAAAGCGTGATGGATACTCGTGAAATAGGGTGTATATATATATATATATATACCATATTGGGCACGAAAAATAAGTGATAAATTATTGAAAATAATGAATAGTTTAGAGTGAATAAGGTCTAACTTTTAAACTTTGATACTTACATTTCTTAATACGCTTTTGTTCCTCATACGCTGGCTTCCGGAATGCTTCATTGAAGAACCAAATAGCATTTACTGCCCATACGAAAGGTAAAAATAGAAATCCAACTGAAACACAGTATTATGATTAAGATTATCATATATAATTGATCTTTATTGCTTACTTCTAAAATACCATTGACAAAGAGACAGCTTCTTCTCATTTGATACCTTTGTTAAATCCATTTTATTACCTTGTTTTTTCAAACACTTCCTTCTGTTTTGGAATTTTTTTTTGAGGTTGAAGGATAGTTGACATTTGACAAGGTGAAGTTCAGACAGCGACGCTGTCAACAGCTCACAGTGTCGCCAGCCCAAGAACTATTTCATATAACTCAGTTGCGTAAAGCAATAAAATCGTTCCCACATGATATGGCGAATTCCCTAAGCCGCGTTCAGACCGAAATTCCACGCCGAACAAAGGAATGCAAGCACATGTGTGTTTGTTGTTGGAAGGTATTGCAATGCGGTTATCTACACCTAAATTTAGTTTCGAGTTGGACCGCGTTGGGGCCGTTGGGTTAAGTTCTGTGCTAGTGTCGAGGGACGAGGACGATTTACTGCTGGCGAGTGCGGGGTTTTTAACAATACATTCTGTCTGTTCATATCCAAGAAAAAGAAGAAACGCCCTAGATGTTGGTGGGTAACAACACCATTTAAAAATAGGGTCTTGTATAGTAGCAGTCACTTACTAGATGAACTTCAAACGACTAAATACTAGAAGCGTAACAAATCCTGTCCATACCAAATCAAACCTCTCTTTGATGTACCGATCAAGGAGCGAACGCATTTGAACGCCGACCTTGGAAACCGTTGGCTTATGTTGGCTCGCGCCGTACACACGAGATCTCATGTGTTTGTGTTTGATGGTTTCAGGTTTTAGGTTAGAGCCAGTGTTGCCATACGTAGCGGAATTCCGCTATTTGTAGCGGATTATTTTGAGAAGAGCGGCGTAGCGGCGGTAGAGCAAATTAGCCCAAAATTTAGCGGAATTTATTACATACAAAACTATCATATTTATTTCACTGTTTTAACGTTAATAACGTTCCAAAATCCTAAATAGGCAGTGGCTAGAGTCTGATTTATTATCGCATTAATAATAAAATTGGTGCATTTGGTGCCGCTTGAGCCATCTAGGAACAGAGAAGAGAATTATGCCACTTTCCTTTTTTTTCAATAACAGAAGGCGTACGCCGTACGTACTGCTTTCAATACTAATCGTTTCTAACAGGTCTCAGCAGGCAGACATAATATTAGGTTTCTCGCTTTGTATTGTATTTTTCAGCTCTGGGTATATACTGTTTAGTTTCGTTTATATTAGTGTTCTTATTTTTGTGTTGATCATTTTATTGATATATCATTTGCTGCAGATTTCAATATTAAATCTACTGGTAAGTAACAAAACTGCTTAAATATCTAACATATAGTTTGATCCGGAAATAAATCTTAGTCGCGAAATTTGTTTTTAACGCTTTTTCTTCTGGAAAATAGGAATAATGGAAAGGCGACAGCAGACCATTAACGATTTTTTTGATAAAAATCCTTCTAAAAAACAAACGGTGAAACCAAACGTGGCCGTACCATCCACTTCGACTGCATCTGTGTCGGACTCGGAGCATCCCGAACCTGAATACAGACAAAATAGAAGAGCGGAATCTAGTGGAATCAGGTCTGAGCCTGATAATTCGACTTGCGAATCTCAGGATAACCAAGAGCCAGAGCAACCTGTTAAGAAAAAGACACGAAAACAAATGTTTACTTCATCATGGCTAGAAGATCCGTTATTTAAAGGCTGGTTGGGACCTATTGAAAATGACAAGTTGAAAGCAAAATGTAAAGCTTGTTATCAAATAATGGGTGCTAAAAAATCAGATTTAGTGAATCATTCGAAATCAAAAAGGCATGCCACTAATGTACAAGCAATTTCGAATGTAAGAACGTTAGATAGCACTTTTCAGTCTCGGGAAGCACGTGAGTTGGAAAAACGGCAAATATTTGCTTGCTTAAGATATAGTCTTTTAGTTGTAAGTCATTATATAAGTTTTAGAACTGTTGATCATATAACATGAGTTAGTCAATTATGTTTTAAAGACCCAGATCCCTCTAGCTCACTTAAATTAAAAAGATCCAAATGCATAAGTATAATTAAAAATGTGCTGACTCCTGTTATTAAAGACGAAATAATTTCAGAATTGGAAAATAAACCATTTTCTATTTTATTGGATGAGAGTACAGACCTGAGCAATACAAGACTACTATGCATTCTTGTAAGGTATATTCATAAAAATTCAATTAAAACCCATTTATTAGATATAATTAAAATAAACGCAGATGAAGGTACCGCCAAAGGTTTATATTCTCTTTTTAAAAAATGCGTTATATCCAATCAAGTAAAAATTACCAATATTGTTGGATACTGTTCCGACAACGCTAGTGTTATGATGGGCAATAACGAATCTTTCAAAACTTATCTTTTAAAAGATAATCCTAATAGGGTAGGATCGCACAAGAGTACGCACTTAACCAATTTACTTTGTTTAAAAATAATTGAAATGCTTTAAGTTGAAATTTTTATTCAAAATATTTTAGCTTACATACTAATCTAAACTTAAAAGACAAATTTTGCCATACATTTTAACATTTAACGAAAATATAAAAGTTTAAACAAAAACAATAAAATGCGTACTCTTAGGATACAGGTTCCTTAAGAGTACTCAATTGTGTCCTAAAGAGTACGCATGTAAACCAAAGAGTACGCGGTAAGATATATCGCCCAATTGGCTGTACCTAAACTTATTCTTTTAAATGTAGGCATAAGTCACAAGAAAATAGGCCATTTCCTAGATAATTAGAGCAGTCATCATGCCACCATGTTTGACACAAGTGACACTTAATCCAATCGGATGTAGAATAATGCTCAGAACATCCGGGACAAATCGTATTGTCTTTTTCATTGTCAACTTTTTTCTTCTTCTGGATTTCTGTATTTTGCCCAGAATCACCAAAAACTTTTCTTTTTCCTCCCTTTTTCTTTAGGCCTTCTTTACGCCTATCTTTTTCTTCCAACAATTTGTCTTTGTATGGGGTAGATGACAGGATTTCCGACTTTTTAGATTTAGTTCTTCTTACTTGTTCATGGGTAGCTTTTGGTAACGGTAAAATCATTTTAGGAGTAATACAAACACTTAAACCTAGATCAATCGGTGCCGCAGACGTAGCCTCAACATAAGTTGAAATTTTGGTAAAGCCTGTACTTTTTGGACTTGGTGTTCTAGTTTGCTCATTTTCAAATAATTTTTCCTTATCGTTTCTAGGCGGGATATAGCCACTTGTACCTGGTTCACTTAGTTCCTTAGGAGCTGCTTTAAAGTAAGCTGTACTTTCAGTAACGGCTGAACTTTGTGGTTCGGGAATCGTAGATTGCTTTTCTTCGGTTAATTTTAAGTTTTCTTTTATTATGGTATTTCTTACTTCTGCAAGAGTGCAATCGTCATCAAATGAACTCTCTTCAACAGATGATTCGATTCTTTGTATTTCAGATTGAGTTTCTTGGGCCAGGTCTAGATGTGGTCTGTTTGTGACCTCAGATGGAGCAAAATCTAAATCACTAAAAACGTCTGGGTTATAAGGAAACAACCCAGTGCAAGCAAATGATTTTTCACATATTTCTATAGTAGTGACTTTTGAATAAGCAAAATGGAAAATGGCAGCCATTTCTTTTAAAGTAATAGGGCGTCCAGGGTTGTTGACCATCCATTTATCGCATTCGTTTGAAAAAGCTGTTTTTAAGGGAAAGAAAAATCCTTTATCTAAGGGTTGAATTTTATGGCTTGCATGAGGAGGTAGGGTTAGTAGCGTTATAAAATGACTTCTAGAGAATAAAATGGTCTCCAATGAGCAATGAGATGTGTGATTGTCCATTATTAAAACCACTGGATCTGTTTCGGATGGTTTTACAAAGTCGCAAAAATGTCGCAACCAAATTACAAACAAATCAGTGTTCATATAACCTGAATCTGAGATCATTTTTAATGTCCCAGGAGGTGCTCCAAAAAAAAGTTCCTCCTTCATTCTTTTTCTTGCGAAAATAAGACCTGGCGGAACCCAAGTACCACCAGCGCTCATGCAGCATACAGCCGTAACTAGCTGACCTCGTTCACCTGATACAACTTTTGACACAGTTTTCTTCCCTTTACAAGCATAAACTTTTGGGAGCTTGTTTGGTACGGTAGATAATCCCGTCTCGTCCATATTAAAGATCCTGTGTGGTGGTAGTTTTAATTTTTCGTAAACTATTTTTAAATTTTCGAAAAAGCGTTGACACTGAACTTTATTAAAGCCGATAGCGCGACCTAAGCTGCATTTTTCTGGAGCTCTGAGAGACAAAGTATTTCTTGCTGCAAAATCTTGTACCCAGTGTTTCCCCGCCATCTTGTTTTCTGTATTAAACCTATGCGGAATTTTATTTAATTCTGCATACTGAAAGGCCAAGTACCTAACATCTTTCATACGCAGTCCATAAAATCTGTTATCTAGATCTTTGATATGGTCAGCCAATTCCTTTTCCTGTGCTTGTGAAAATACAGGCTTAAATCTACCCAGACTAGATGGAATAGTACCCTAAAATAAAAATAAAATTGCATTTTGACGTTAAAATCGTCAGTTTATTATTACCTCTCGCAATCTTTTTCTTAATGTACACTCATTCACATGAAAGGACTTTGCGACCGATCTTTTACTTTCCCCTTTTGCGATGCGGTCCCTTGCTTGGTCGATGATTTCTTGAGTAAATTTTAATGATCTATCGCTCTTTCGCTTGTATTTACCCATTATAACAAACTAAAACAAATAATAAGAAGTCATTTCATGTGTCCCTAAGAGTACGCACGAATCCTAAGAGTTCGCATGCGTACTCTTTGCCTGCGTACTCTTAGGAACCTTGACATGAAAAATTTAAACACTGAGTTACAAATTTAGGCAACCAGAAAAACTGTATGTATGTCGCTAAGGATCAACTGTAAACATTACTGTTTAAGGCATATTTACGATTTTTTATAAAAATTTGCGATTTAATTAAATATTACTTACCCAGTAAGTTCAAAATATTACATGTAATTTCAGGAAAACTATTTTTTCCGCATATATGTTACGCATTTGTTAAAAATTGTCAGCAAAACTACACAAACTCTTGGGACAACTAACAACTAACTACTGACGAGACGACAGCCGACTGGCGGGGATAACAATAAAAAAATGGCGATCGCGTACTCTTATGGAACGCGTACTCTTAGGCGATCCTACCCTATAATTGTCAATGGCTGCATTTGCCACTCTGCTCATTTAGTGGCGGTGGCGGCAGCTGAAAAGATTCCAAGCAACGTTGAAGCTCTTTTACAAAACTTATATTCTTACTCCTCAAGACGCCCAAAAGGCAGTGTGTTCTTGAAGAATTACAGGAATATTTCAAAAAGTCAAAATTAAACATTTTAAGCCCTAGTAGAACAAGGTGGCTTGCTTTATCCAAATGTGTTGATAGAGTTTTGGATCAGTGGGACATCTTGCTTAGCCTATTTAGATTAGCTTCCATTGAAGACAAAAATCCTGTAGCAAATGTAATACTTAATGAGTTACAGAATCCATTTGTTAAGGCGTATTTAATGTTTTTTAAATTCGTGTTGCCCATTTTAAACCAATTTAATGCTCTCTTTCAATCAGAGAAAGTTATGCTCAATAGAGAGTGAGCGATTTGTACGTCATCTACAGTATCGGACAAAAATAGAGCGACGATATATTTTTTTTCTTCTATTGAAAACGCAATAACGCAAGAGGAATTAAAACTCATTAAAACAAATACATTCATTGACGCAAATACATTTATTACATTCTATACCAAACTTCTCCCATATTGACAAGATTCTAAAATGAAAAAGAAAAATCAAACATTCTTAAACGACAAAAGTTAAGCGACGCATACAATAAAAATAATACAAAACAGAATATTCATAAAACAAATACATTATCATGTTGCCTTCCTAATATTTAGTCCACAGTCCTCTATTTGCGAGAACCTGGCGGCACCTTTGAGGCATGGAAGAAATTAAATTATCAATTATGCTTTGATCAATAGTTTTCCAGATATTTTCAATTTCTTCAAAAATTTGCTGTTTATTTTTATAGGATTTGGTTCTAAGTTGCCTATCTACAATTTCCCACAGGTTTTCGATCGGATTATGATCGGGTGATTGGGCTGGCCATTTAAGAATGGTGATTCTATTTTCATTGAGCCATTCTTTTATACATTTTGCTGTATGTCATTGTCGTGTTGAAAAACAAATCGTAGTGGCATATTCCATTCTGCATAAGGCAGCATGATATATTCAAGGATATATTTATACTTAAACCTATCCATAATGCCCTCAATGTGATAAATTGGTCCCATTTCATAGCCAGAGAAACAACCCCACACTAACACGTTTCCACCTCCATGTTTTATAGTACCTTGGACATACTTTGGGTCGAGTCTTTTACCTGCAATACGCCGAACATATTGAACTCCATCACTTTTGTGCAAATCAAACTTTGACTCATCACTAAACAGTACTTTTTTCCATTGCTCTGGTGTCCAATGAGCATGTTGGGCTGCAAACAGACGACGTGCTTTAATATTCTTCTTACTAAGAAGCGGTTTTTTTGCAGGTTTGCATGCCGTTAAGCCTGCTTCAACTAGTCTGCGCTGTATAGTCCGAGAAGAAACATTAGAGTCCCCAGCTTCAGCCAGAATTTGTTTTGCTGACAAAAAAGGATTTGCCTGAAAGATCCTCTTAATTCTCCTATCAAGTTTCTTTGTAGTTTTTCTCGGTCTTCCCGTCTGTTTTAGGTTGACTACTTTACCCCTAATTCGATAATTCTGAATTTTCCTCGACACCACAGATTTTGAAACCCTCAGTTCTTGTTTTATTTTATAATGTGGTATTTCCATCTTATATGATGCAATAATTCTTTCTTTAAGATCAACAGAAAAACTTTTACCGCGAGGCATTTTATACACAAAATAACATCCGATGTTTATGTACTAATGGTATGAACAATATCGGTAAAGTCGCTCTATTTTTGTCCATGAAAAAATGCATAAAAACATATAAGGTATTTCTTTATCTCTCGATGTTATCACAAGAGGCAAAGAATATTTAAATACGATAAACCAAGGTATGTACTGATACTACAAAATTGCTCGTCATCATGAGGTGCAGTGAAAAAGTTTTTTAAGGATATTATAACGTCGCTTTACTTTTGTCCGATACTGTATGTACAAACTTTATGCGACCACAATATTTTAAAAATGAGAAATTATATAATCTAAATCCTAATGATCCCCACTGCTTATTACCAATTGAACAAGTGAATGTTCGTCCGCATACATTGGATGCAATAAAACACTGCAATCGAACAATTTAAATTAAAATGTGTCACATTTTACCAAAAATCGGTAGAAGAGTCCCTTAAAAGATTTCCTGTCAAAGACAACTTCTTTTCAGAGCTAAAGTTTCTCTCACCGGTTGATGTGATGAACAATCGTCTTATTATAAGTGATACCTTTCATGACGCCGTTTTAAAAAAATTGGCCCTTCATATTGAAACCGAAAAGGCAATTTTGGAACTAAAAAAAATATCTATTTATTTTAGTGATAGTGAGAAAGAGGAAATTTCAAAAACAAAAGGTAATGTCATTGAATTTTGGTCGTTTGTAAACGACCTCAAAAATTTTAATGACGAATATTTATTTCGCAATATAGGTAAACTGGCTCTAATCATTTTAACATTGCCTCATGGAAACGCTGATGTTGAGCGAACTTTTTCTTATATGCTTGATTACAAAAGAAAAAAAAAGAAATAAAATAATACCATCAACTTTGCCTGCACTAATTTCAATTAAATTAGACTTGGAATCAAAAAAACAGTGCTGTTTATCCTATAGTTTTAATGAGAATCATTTAAACAAATATAAAAAGAATTTATATAATGTAAATAAGGAAGAACAAGCTGAAGAAGTAATTTCTGATTCTGACTGTGAATAAAATAAGCAAACGTAGGCATTTCCACGTTTCCGCTTCTTCTTTGTCCTTATTTTTTGTTTTTTTTTCTATTAAGATTAAGATATTGGTGATAGTTTCTATTTTTTTATTAGTTCCTAATTCTAAACCAAAGACAGTTTTGTTTTTTTAGAGGTATACGTTTTATGTTTTTACGAAAAATTGCAATTATATTATGTTACTGTTTGTATTTTTAGTAGGGTTTTTAGACAGTGTTTAAAAAAAGGTAAATATGTAAAAAATATATTTGTTGTTTATTTTAAGCCTCCCCCCCCCTTAAATTTTTAGACCGTAGCGGCATGTAGCGGAATTTTGCGATACGTGTGACGGATATTTTAAACTTCGCTCTGGCAACACTGGTTAGAACCAGTAGCGGCGAAAAACATTATTTATTTGTTTGCTGTGATTGTGGTGAGGTATTTCGATTTGAATACCTACCTATACATAATAATGTGTGTTCCGTAGCTAACTATTGAGGAGAATGAAGTAAATTAGTATACCTACATACAAAGCATAGGCTGCCATAACAACACTTTTTTCATATTGCTAATATTTTGAACGTTTTGCAGGTGGCTGGCCTAAGTATATGTATTTTAGTCAATCATAAATTACCAAGTGCTTACAGTTGTTTTATTATAATGTCCTGTTGCTATGCAAGACTAGTTGAGAAATATATTGACATAGCTAACGAAAAAGATTAAGTAAATGATAACTTTGAAAGTACTATCGAGATTGAAATTTTGACCCTAGGGTACTGCTATGAAAATGACGAAAAAGCTCTGCAGTTTTTGAAAATCGGTACAGTGGCGGCGGAGTTATCGTCGAAAAACAAACAAAAAACGGTCAAACTTCGTTTTTCGATATTTCTGAGGCTTATGACAGACTTAAGTTTTGGATGCTGAAGACAAGTTCAAGCGCGACACTGACACCGGTAAGAGACGTTGGCACCACCATACGTCGAACGTCCGAGTGTGTCCGAGATTAATTAAAAAGTTCATCCCATCGTGCAGGAGACACTTGCGGTGTTGAACGCTTCTAAGCAACGTTGTATACAACTCTGGAAACATCGTTTGAGGCCCGCATAAGTCAGGCCCGTATCGTCAGTCGTCCCTACAACTGTAGGGCGCCTTTATGGCCTCCTTGATTGTCATAGTTTTCTACTTCTCCGTGTCAGCGCTCTATTTTGAGGTTATGTCACAAACATCAATTTGCATCAAATTGTGCTTGATTTTGAGTTATATCATGTTTTATCAGCCTGAAATTTCCTACAATTTAAAAAGAAAACCTATCTTCACAATAGGAGAGCGCTGACGCTGACACGGGACAAGTGTAATCTAGAAATTTTTGAAGGAGAGAAAGGAGTTTGACAATCAAGGAGGCCATAAAGGCGCCCTACAATTGTAGGGACGACTGACGATACGGGCCTAAGTCTCAATAAGCCACTCTATCAGTTTGTGCAAAGATATGTGTTTTGCTGGTTGCATAACTAGGGCAATTATAACAAGAGTTATTTGCTTGTTCAATGTTGCCAGGTCTAGTGGAATTTCACTAGATCTAGTGATTTTTGAACAAGTTCAGTGATTTAGTGAAAACTTTGTTAGATGTCATATTTCTAGTGATTTTTTGAAAGGTTTGTGGCAAACAAAAAAAATTGAAAAATACAATGAAAAAATATAGTAATGGATCCAAAAGTTGGTAAGAAGCGTATACAATTATATGCATCGCAATTTTAAAAGATTTTCGGAATTTCAAATATTTTTTAACATCAAACCCCATAAATGATTGCATTCATCACAGACCAGGTGGCTGTCACTGATTTCCGCTGTAAGTAGAATTATTGAGGAATATGATACTCGAGAGAATCATTTTAGAATTGAAGTATTCGATGAAGCTTCACTAGCAGCGGAAATGCATGACATGCTTAATAATAAATTAAATAAACTATATCTTCTTTTTTCTTCTTTTACGGATATGAATTTGGAATTCCATTCTGAAACACCAAAGGTACATAACCTTTACCCCCGGATTAATGACGCGTGTAAATTTTTATTAAGCTGTTTCATAAAATCAGGATATTTAAGAAATACAGATATATGTTCAATATCGAAATCCAGAACATTTTCTTCCAATAGAAAAAAATTACTTGGGTCCAAAAGTACCGGAAGAAATGCATAATCCTTTTTTTACCGAAAATATAAAACATAATCTCAGATTGAAATTCTGGATTTTTATATTGAAGCGGTATGCCAAATATGGAAGCGATTCCCCTTTAATTCGCGAGAAGTACAGACTCTCAAACTAATAACTTTTCCGCACCCATCAAATATAACATCAACTGAAAACTGAAAGCATAGGTCCTCTAGCTAGTAGGTTTCCAAATATAGTTAAAGACATTAACAATTTAGATAAAGAATTAAGGCAGTTGAAGTTTTCTGAATGTGATTTTTTGCTTGGTGAAATTCAATTCTAGAAAAACATAAACAATATCAAAAAAGGGGGTGATAGTCTCGCATATCCAGAGCTTGCCAATTTTGCTCAAAATTTATTTACATTGCCACACAGCAACGCAAGTGTGGAAAGATTATTTTTTTACATTAGTTTAAACAAAACCAAATGGCGTAATCGACTGAGAGCTACGACAATGAGTGGAATTTTGCACAGCAAAAGACTAATTAATCCCGAAGATAAAAGCTGCTTTAATTTTCCAATTTCAATGGAGATTATAAAAAAACATAAAAACAATATGTACTCGTAAGAATGTCATTCTTTTCAAATTTGCTTATTTTAATGTAGTTTTAACTAAGTTATATTTAATTTCGTTGTAATGTTTACGTTTTTAAGCTTTCAAATATATTTGGTGTTTTATTACTTTTGTCTGTTTATATTTATGGTTTCTTTTAAGTGACTGTTCCAATGTACGTTTTTGTTGTTTGTTTTTAAAAGTAGAGTCTTGAAGATTAACAAATATTTTATTATTTACCTCTATATATAAAAAATACATAAATAAAAAATCTAGTGATTTGTTATTCAATCTAGTGATTTTTTAGCAAAATTTAGTTATATTTAATTTCGTTGTAATGTTTACGTTTTTAAGCTTTCAAATATATTTGGTGTTTTATTACTTTTGTCTGTTTATATTTATGGTTTCTTTTAAGTGGCTGTTCCAATGTACGTTTTTGTTGTTTGTTTTTAAAAGTAGAGTCTTGAAGATTAACAAATATTTTATTATTTACCTCTATATATAAAAAATACATAAATAAAAAATCTAGTGATTTGTTATTCAATCTAGTGATTTTTTAGCAAAATTTCTATTTTTTGAACCTGGCAACATTGTGCTTGCTGGACTTTGTCATTTACCATTGACGTATTCCATTTGAAAATAGCCAACCTATTACTCTATTCACGTGTTTGAAAAATTGAGAAAATAGGAATTTGTCACAGCTATGTTTCTCATCTTCGCAAAAATTGGTGTTTCATAGATGATGCTGTAGCCAAATGTATTAGCATATAGCATATATCTTGGAGACTTCCAATTATTGCGAAGAGGATAACATATAGCTCTGACAAATTCTCGTAGATGGACGCTACAGTAGCTCATTTCATCTGCAATAATTTTTTGAACGCTGGAGTATAGAACATTGTTCTATGTTGATTATATTCACGTAGAATCCATTTATGTGTTTATTAAAAAAATAACGATTTGTCTCAAGGTAAAATGAGATTCTTAAGATCATTGAGTTTTCCTTAAATGAACCCCTTTTCACATTCGCTGTATGGAATTAGGTATATAATCTTTTTTAGACACTTTTAGATATAACCTGAGACTGAAAGAAACTCATTGGTCAGTGCGGTATTTAGTAAGAAAGGACTTTTCATGTTTTTTTTGCTACTAGAATTTTTGTAATCATAGCATACATCCATCTCCCTTACTGATAGATATGCAATTGGCTTCTGTGCGTGGACGTGTGCTCTCAGGCATGCGTTTTCTGGTTTTGTCTCTCGCTCGAAAATTTTTCGTCAACGTACGAGCCTCCCACATTTATGTTGGTCAATGTGAAAAGTTGCTTGCCACGAGCGTGCGATTTTAGTTTACCTCTGTTAATTTTCTATATGAGACATACAGGAAAAACTAAATTTGTCTGATGGCTTGAGTTTAATGCGTGCTAGAGAGAAGCGCGAGAAGTGTGTATCAACACATCTTAGAAAGAGATAGAAGCCGGCTGAAGAGCGAAGGGCATCACTATACAGGGTTATCCAAATTAAGTGTCCACTATTAGTAACTTTGTTATTAGTGAAAATACAAAGTTGTTTGAATTAGCAAACTAGTAGCATTTTTAACGCTGGTAAAAATGAGAAATAAAAAAAAACAATTGAGAGTAGTTATTTTGATTTTTTTCAGTAAAATAACATTTTTTTAAATGGAAACCCCTGTATATTATATTTTTTTCTGTTAAAGCATCAAATTTTAAACAAAAAAGCTTACAATAACTTTTCTCCTAGGATACAAATTGTTGAAGTTATGGCCTCCAATCTGAAACAATTAAATTGTATCGACAAACTTTATTTTCAACATCAACTTATAATCTTACAAAATACAATAACAATTTTTTTTAAAGAAGATGCTCGAAAACACCACCTTGTTCTTCAATACATTTTTGGGCACGTTTTTCAACTGCTCGAACTGTCTTAAGTATGGTCCTACCATCTATCTGGGTTATCTTTTCCCTAACTGCAGTCTTTAACGCGTCAAGGTTATCGTACCTTCGCTTGTAAATTTGGTTCTTTAAGTAACCCCACAAGAAGTAATCAAGTGGGTTTAGATCTGGTGATCTGGGAGGCCACTGTATTGGGCCATTTGTTCCTATCCACTGATCATTAAAAGTAGTACTTAGAAAATGATAAGTACCTCTGGAGTTGTGGGCAGGTGCGCCATCTTGCTGAAAATGCAGATGATGTCTACTTATAAGATCCAATTCGTCTAAGAAATTAGTCAGAATTTCTGACATAAATTCCACATATCTTTCACCAGTTAGGGTTCCCTCATAAAAGAACGGGCCAACAATTTTTGAACCAATTATACCGCACCAAACGTTGAAACTGAAACGGACTTGTGGGCCTCTTGGATGTACTAACAAAAGATTTTCTCTTGACCAATAATGGTGGTTTTTTCTATTAAACATTCCAGAATTTGAAAAATTTGATTCATCTGTCCATAAAAGGTAACGAAAGTTATTTACATTTTGGCGACAGAAGCTAAGATACCAATGGCAAAAAACAAGTCTTCTCTCTGGATCCCCTGCCAAAAGCGTTTGAACTGGTCGGTACTTATACGGAATAAATTTGTATTTTTTTAAAATCCTTTGAACAGTACCATAACTGAAATTAGAGTCCTTGAGAATATCTGCTATTGAATTCTCACGATAAGCTTCAAAATATCCAATAACTGCAATTTCCGTGGCCTCGCTTATTATGAATTCTTTTTTTGCCCTTGTTTTAGCAAAAACATTTTCGTTGCCCCTAAATTTTCGATAAAGTCTCAGAAAATATCGTTCATACGGTTGAATGCGAGCGGGATATAATTCACTGTAGTATCTCTTGCTCTCAAGGAGGATTTTCTGCACACCAATAGCATTCTAACATATCACACTTTTCTTCATGGGAGAACATTTTTCTTTAAATTAATGACACAATAAAGCTTATAAACAAGTATTTACACTAATGTTTGACATTATTTGATTTTATCATTGTTTTCCAAAGCCTTCTAGTTGCGAGTATGTCCAGTTTAACAATTTGTCGCTTATCTTAATGCTGTCAAATCGCGAACGCCATGTTGTGTTCATAGCCGTCTTAATATTATAATACTGCAAATAATTAAAAATATTTATCGTTATTTTGACTTTATTTTTGACTTTAGCGGAAAAGTCATTATGAACTTTTTTGTTTAAAATTTGATGCTTTAACAGAAAAAAATATAATATACAGGGGTTTCCATTTAAAAAAATGTTATTTTACTGAAAAAAATCAAAATAACGACTCTCAATTGTTTTTTTTTCTCATTTTTACCAGCGTTAAAAATGCTACTAGTTTGCTAATTTAAACAACTTTGTATTTTTACTAATAACAAAGTTACCAATGGTGGACACTTAATTTGGATAACCCTGTATTGCCTAGCGACGGTGACACAGACGGTCATGTAATAGGTATTCCACGTTGCCAATATGTTACACCAGAAACTGTTCGCACAAGCTTCTACAATAGGTTAGATTACTGTCAAACCCAAGAAGAAGGTCTGTTCGAACATTTAATTGAATATTTTGTTTTCATTTTGATTAAAATTCCTTGTTTCAATTTTGATTCGACTTAGTGTTTTAATTTATTTTAGATTTATCTTTGATTTCCACCGATTTTGATAAAATCAACACACCCTGAGTTATTGTTACATTTTGCGACAGTGAGCGCAATACAAATTATCACGTCCTGCGTGCAGGCATGTGAAATATGTAGAATATAGAATAAACACATGCATATTTTCAGCATGTATCTTAATTAAAAAAATTGGTGTAACAACGCGGTGATGAGCTTCGCTATACAGACAATCCCTCTTGTACATTTTGAATTCAAGCTGTCAGACAAATTATTTGGTTCGCAGTGTATAGCAATGCTTGAAGAAACAACTACAATCAACAGAGTGTGTGTTAAATTTAGAGAAGCATTTTCAGAAAGTGAATAAAACAACGGTCCTCCATCACCTCTACTCATGTTTATGTGCAAGAGAGGGTAGCAGCTGTATCAAGAATCGGCTTGCGTAGTGTGGAATTTCCCTTAGTGAGTTTAAACGTACAAGGTACTGTTGTAAATCTATTTATTTGTTTCGTATGACATTGCGACGTAACCGCCTAAAACTGCCAATGGAACTTTAGGTAGGTACGGTTATCAATGATGTTACGTAACCAGCTCATATAGGTTGTTTGTTCTTTATTCGAATCGCCTACAATATCTGTTGTAGAATCGCTAGTGGTGGGCGTGCCGTGCCGTTTTTGGAACTCAAGCCCCTCCAGAAACCCACAGTCTAACGTTTTCCCTTTTATATAACCTTCTTGAATCCGCCACTGTGATACTAAAGTGACTTCCTCTCTCAAAATATGGATGCGCCCTTGAGTCCCCCAGAACTTATTTCTGGTCACAACAGTGCCCGATACAGCTATAGAAACGACAAATATTTGGCGAAGAATGTTTTCAGGGCGTTTGAACCTTGAAAGTTTTTTCCATATATTGTCCGCCCCTAATATCTGGCCGCCCTAAGCCTGGGCCTACCGCACCTGAGTGCAAATTCGCCAATGAGAATCATCTTGTATATAAATCCCGTGTAGCAAAGATAGACGCAGATCCATTGTCTTTATTTGAGATATAAGTAAGTACTGTTAATTGATAGAGGTGTGCTAAGAAGGTGAACCACCTAACCTTCTACCTCAAGAGTATTTCATTTACCGGAGAAATAGTTAATTGATTTTCATTTGATGTCCACAAAATAGTCAACGGAATTCACCGGATCAATAGTTAACGCGCACATTCTAAAAGGAAAATAAGCTGGTAGACAAGGGTGCAAAGTCCAGGAATGTCGCTATCCAACCACGGTATAGTAGATATATCTTAGACCTTTTGTTCGTTTGCCACATGAAAGTGACAATGCGTTAAATTATTAGGAGATTGGTGATAAAATTATCTTGTTAATCTGATTTTTGAACTGTCCTAAAGGTTAGTAAGACGGAAAAACTTCATATGGTAGATTGTTCCACATTCTCAATGACCTAGGAACAAAGTAGCTGCCTAACCAAGTAACTCCGTAATTTTAATACTTTTAGTATGTGTATAAGAAAAAGTTCCTTATTGCTTCAAGAATAATACGCTGTGTAAAAAAGTACCAGTACTAGGCAGCAGCGGTGGCCACAGTAGTAGACTCTTCGGTCTCCGGATCAGTCACCGTGCGCTGTGCGGGTTCGAGTCCCGTCCCAGGAGAAATTTTTCTCTTGGCTATGGATGTTGTGATTGTCCGTAGGTGGTAGATGGTCTCTGACTGTCGAACGCGGAGGTACCACCTGGCGGTTCTCGTAGGCGGAGCCAGAATGTGTGCATGTTGCATGCACACGTGTTCCCTCGCCAGAGTCCGTGTGGCGTCCCCCCTTTCCCATGTATCCCCCATAGCCCCACGGTACCCAATGGGTGCTTAGGCCTTAGGCCTTCGTGGTAGTTGGAATATAAAAACAGTACCAATCTTTGAATTTGACCGCCCGCAGTTTGTAATTTTCATGCATACCTACTTCCCCGCCCCCTTATAATGTTAAATTGGTAACAGTGTATAATAATAATGTAATGATTAATGTGATAATGTATGGTCATTCACTACTCAGTGCAAACACAGTCCTTTAATTTTCGTCAAAATGCTTTCCAAATTTAAGTGTCCGAATCTCGTTAGGTTCTACCTTATATTCTTTGGCTGCTACGAATTTGATAATTTGATTGTATACATCATAAAGTCTACTTTAAGGCTACTACTCTAAGATTTTTCAAAAATTTCATTATTAACTAAACCTTGAAATATAGCGGTCCAAGACCACCATGCATTCATCGAAATGTGACAAAAAAGAACGTTTGGAGTTAAGGATAATGTATCTGTCGGCGTCAAACGCTGAAATCCGTCTCCAACATCTGCTGGTGATTCACAGTGTCGAACGCCTTGTCAAGATCCAAGAATACGCACAGTACCGGTGTACTCAATTCTAATCTTTTTCTAATCTCTTCTGTTAACTTAGCAATTGCATCTTTGGTTGATATTCCCTCTCGAAAACCCATTTGCTTATCTGAAACATATTTGCATTTGTCAAAAAATTTAACTAGCCTATTTTTCAACGTTTTCTCAAATATTTTAGCTATAATTATGATGACAGATATTGGTCTATAGTTATTTATACTTTTTACATCACCTTTTTTAAGGACAGGTGTAACTAAAGCTACTTTGAACCCTTCTGGGACTTCATTAGAAATATACATCCGGTCGATTAGGTGACATAGCGGCACTGAAATAATGTCAGCAGTATATTTAAATATTTATAGTACCTTGTTATATTATATAATTCATAGGAGCAACACTGAGAGGATTACAGCGTTTGACTAAAATAGGCGAATGCAGTAACGAAGTTAATGTGGTTGTTACGGTGTTTGACTGAAATTGTTCAGTCATTACAGGGAATGACTGAAATCCCTGGTAAAACGTTGTAATAATCAAACTGTTACGGTGTTTGCCGGCAATACGGGGACTGGCTAGGCGTTTCAGGGAATGACGGATTTCAGCGTTTGACCCCGACATATCCACCAATTTCTCTCGTCGACCATCCTAACACCTACCATCCCATACTTTGCGTCTCCCCATCGGAGTAGGCCTTGACGGATAACAATAACGGTGGTTGGTTAGTCGGCGACCGTGTTGCCCGCGAATTAAACGTTCGCACACATTGCGGATGAAACCGTGCCGTTGATGTCGTAATATATTGAAAGGTTTCGAGGAATGTTTTTGTTTTGATCGTTGTTTTGCACCGCAAAAAGGATGAAACTCATCCCGGTCGATTACCATGGATTCACGGCGATGGACAGGCGGTTTTCCAGCCCTATGCTGCCATGGATCGTCTCCGAAATCAGGAAAAGGAACTATCTTGAAAGGGTGAGGGATGAATGAATGTTTGCAAATGCCTTTCAGACCCCTGAGTACAGTGCAGAGAGATACTATATAATTACTATAGTTACATTATTTCTTGTCAACCATATAGACCACAAGATCCGTATCATTTGTCTATCTGTATATTGTAACCTTTATATTAATTTGGGACTGTGTCATTACCGGGTGTAGCTCAACATTATGGAAAGCCTTTAGTTGATATGTGCCAGCGTGAAACCTTAAGTTATATTATTCACCTATGACTGGACCTTTGGAAGTGCCGTCCCTGATGATAATAATCCAACAATCGACATTCTGGCTATTTTTGGATACACTTATTGATATCCAAATAAAAGTATTTCCTAAAAACCAGAAATCAGAATGATTATCCTCAAATACTTCCGGATTGAATGTAAATACAGAACAGAGACGGCTCTACGAAGGGCTGAAGGGTGATGACCCCCTGATGTGATTAAATGACCTCAATATTCCTTGACGATAATTGTATATAGATATTGATGTGTAGGACGTTTTACCGTGACTGGTTGAAATAAATAAAGTATGCATGCTGTTATCGTCGTCATAACACTGATAACATCATACCTAGTAGGCAGCTATCTCTCTCTTTATTTCAAAAGACACCTCTGGCAGAATGATTATTCGGATTCAGTAACTAATTTTTGATTTCGATTCTTTGTGAGTTATTGTTTTTGAGTATTTCGACTTACGTTTGTAATATTTTCTTGTGTAACTTTGGATGAAAAACTATCCCAAGATTATAAGATACCTATGCCCATCGATATCCCATAAAATTCTTTATCAGATAATGTTTTTTAATTACATTCGATGTATGTTATGTAATTGTTTTATTATTCGCCATTTAATATTGCGCACTGAAATCGTGAGACTTGACCTGTAACCAGGCACCAAACAGATGTTTTTTGTGCGAAAAACAAGCTCAAGAACACGTTATGGTAATGCAGGATCAATAGTTTCTATTTTCAGAACAAATTACATTCACACCAAAATGCAGGCCTGTTTAAATCTTCAACACGGGCTGAGTAGTGGGACATTTTCAGGGATGGAGATAATTCAAATTTTAACAAATCCATGTAACGTTTAAATGGAGTATCGCATAAGTATTCACTCTCTCGAATACATATATACATGTAGAAGGTAAAAAAATAAACGTTATAAAGGTTTCCCTCCGTACGAATATACATGATCTTAAGTGATGCCACTGGAAATTAACTTTTTTGAATATTCTTGAACGACACTGTAAAATTCAACGAGCTTTGATAATAGAGTAACCAACTATGAGCTTATATAAACTTTGAAAAAAAGCCATTGGGGTGGCCGAAACGACAATAAAACATAGTGGTTTGATTCTGCCAGACAGTGGAGTTTTAGGAAGTAATTAAGTTGCTTAGACCATCGGGGACCGGCACCCATATTACGTAACTGCAAAATGACAGGGATAGCGATTTGATCGCCATAATGGTCGCCACTTCATGTTCACTTGTAGTAAAGGTGTGTGTTGCGTAAACGTGAAGATACTCGTACCACAGTTTAGTCGAGACAAACATAAAGCGTCCTAGCGCTCATCCGGTTTAGATGGATGGCCAAGTTCTTCCAAAGAGCCGTTCATTTCGGCCGATCGGAGTCCAGATTACAGAGAACTTGATCTAGCACTAACACAACTCGTCAATAGCGGCAGCTGCTGAAGAAAAAGTCTAGGCTATTTGCTTACGACTAAGACATACTTTTCTCCACATGACCTCATCACTCTGTACAAGGCCCATATATGACCTAGCCTTGAGTATTGCTCACACGTTTGGGGTGCTGACGCCCCGACTATATTATCCATTCTCGATGTTGTCCAGAGGAGGGCTGTCCGAATGATCGATGACTGTTCTCTAAGAGATAGTCTCTCGGGACCCTTTCGTACCGGCGGGACATCGGCGATCTAGCCAGCCAGACAGACTCGCCGGACTTCGGCCCCCCATCCTAACCGTGTCGAACTTCGTACATCCAGAACTGGCCAATACGACCGCTCCTTTGTCCTTAGGGTGTCGAGATTGTGGCCTTGGGTTTCTTCTGCATTCTATGTAGTAGTGGAGCCGACTACAAGTTCTTGGTTGGAAATACGTAAAATTTGACTAATGTTGGACTGGTTTGCTACAAAAACGGCATCTATCGGCGGACCACCCTTGGCTTGACGATTCGTCCATATATGAACTATATACATATATAGTACGACAAAAAAATAGGGACGATAGGCGAAGGGCTGATCTACAACATACCAAAAAATGACCTTAGTAAAAGTTTCACTGTTTTTGAGACATTGATCTTTTTGTATCTCTTTTTTTAATCTATATTTTGTTGTTGTGCCTAGAAATAACAGGACATCTGTTTGTTTTTTTCGTTGCAAAATATTCTCAGATAGTTGGTCTGCCATTTGAAATATCATTTTCGATAAATACAAGTAGGCAAATTTCGCATTTCACAATTTTTATTTTAAAAAACTATTTTTCTCAACTTTGGTATTCAGCAATGAAATAAAAATATACTAAACTACTGGACAGTACTGTGATAAATTGGCTGCTTAGTCAACAACTACAGATGGATCAAATTTTTCGAAAGAGGCAAAAAATTAATATCTCAAAAACAGTGAAACTTTCACTAGGATCATTTTTTGGTATGTTGTAGATCTGCCTTTCGCATATCTTCCCCATTTTTTGTCCTTTTTGTGTATTTACCGGACACCCTGTATAGTGTAATCATATTGCTAATTTCCCCGAAATAATTGTAAAGTCTGGTTTCATTGGTGCAAGTTGTTCAATGGGGTATTTAAAACATGGACGCATAAAATGGGTACACCAATTTTTGTGAGAAAACTTTTTATTTGACAACAAAGGATGAGAAAACGTGTTTTTTGGTATTAAATCGAAAGTGTTGACAGGAGCGGAAAAACTTTTCATATTAGATTTCTAGGTATTTATGAGACCTACAAAATGAGACCACACTTAAAAAGATCCGACTAACAGCAAAAATATTATGGCCGAAAAACGAGGCAAAATGCAGGTGTTGGCACCTGTTGGTAATGTGGATATAATTTCATGCAACTACTTGGAATTCTTCAAACCCATGGAATGATAATTGGATTACATTGGTCAAGTAGTTTTTTGAGAATTTCTAATTGGTCATCCCAAAACATCTGTTTTCCGGTCATCATTACTAGTTTATTGAGCAATACAGTGTTCGTTCAAAGAGCACTTAATATAAAATACACGTGTTTACCTTGCGATATGAATCACAAACCATTCCGAAAGATAAATGTTATTTTTATGCGATGTTTTCTTCTAAACAAATTCAAACATTTCATATTTGCGAGTAATTGAACAAATGCGCTACGATATTCAGAAAACATACGTTACTACACACATTTTAAAACAAAGCGGATGTGTCTATCATCCTTTGCTAAAAAAAATAACATTTATCTTCCGGAATGGCTTGCGATTCATATCGGCACGGTAAAAACGTGTATTTTTCTATTAAGTGCTCTTTGAACGAACTAGTGTATTTTGCTATAAAATGCCTTTTGAACTAACTCTGTATATTGCTCAATAAACTAGTAGTGATGGCCGTAAAACAGGTTTTTTGATTAACAATTAGAAATTCTCGAAAACTACTTGACCAATCTACTCCAAGTTTGTTGTGGTTATTTAGAAGTAGGAATCCTACGAATTTGAAGAATTTGAAATATCTGCGAGAAACCATCGTTGCATTACCAACAAGTGCCAAAACCTGCAGTTTGCCTCGGTTTTCGGCCATAACTTTTTTACTATTAGTCGGATCTTTTTATGTGTGGTCTCATTTTGTAGGTCTCATAAATACCTAAAAATCTTATATTAAGAGTTTTTTCGTTCATGCCAACACTCTCGATTGAATCCCAAAAAACACGTTTTCTCATTCTTTGTTGTCGAATAAAAAGTTTACCCACAAAAATTGGTCTACCCATTTTATGCGTCCATGTTTTGAATACCCTCTTGAACAACTTGTAGCAATAAAACCAGACTTTACAATTATTTCGCAAACCAGGGGTATTTTCGTACAATATGATTAGACTAATTTTTGGATTTTCCTACTCGGTGTTGCCAAACTAACATAAAATGAATGATTAGAAAACGCTACATACACCTTAGGAAAAACCATTGTTATACATGGGAAATCATTTCTTGGCAACAGCGCATCGGCTCGTCTACTTTCATCGCTATTCGTACATATTTCCTACCGTTAACTGCAGACCTGTATCACGAATGAGAATAATAGGCAGATACGCTGTGTTGCCAATTTGAGTAGAGCTTCCCGAATTGTGGAGAATTTAGAGTTAAGTGTTGATTCATTCAAGCTTTTAATCAGCATGGCATAGACGTTAGAACTTCATAAAGATAACATTGAAGCTGAATGCTGCTGGAGTATAGTGTTTCGAATATTCAAAGCGGAGCGAGACACTATACTCGTTCAATGGGTCATCAAGCCACAGTCTTTTCAACAAAGAAATTATTTTACGAAAATGCGTTATATTTTTACGATTTTGTCGTCACCAAATCTCTGTTTCTCAAAATGTACGTCTATTGTAGAATTTTCAGCAAACTAGAAACGTGATCTAGTATTTACTCAACATTACGGATTTCTCGAAATACATTTAAAAAAGTGACCTAGATACCTAACTGTCCCAAGCTCTTTAAATATAAAGTCGGCCACTCACGTACAGTTTCAACTGACAGTTTGAACTGTTCAGTGAAAACTGTGCAGTTAAACTGTTCAGTCTGTTTGCACACACACATACAGGTCAATCTATCAGTTTTAAATAATGCATCGAACAGAGCAGAACGATTTGGCCGCTCTGGGTATACTTTGTGTAGTTTTACAAAAAAGTAAACAATGTAAAAAGCGTAAACAGTGGTGCAAGAAGTGGTTACAGAGACGAAATCAATCTTCGGACATCAGCTTATTAAAAGAATTGAGAGGGGAACCATTAGATTTCCTTAATTATTTGCGCATGACAGAAGCAGTGTATCAAAAGTTGCTTTTGCTGGTTTCTCCTTTGATTAAGAAGAAAGATACAGTTATGAGGGCAGCAATATCTCCACACGAACGATTAACTGCTACCTTGAGATTTCTGGCAACAGGACGGTCGTATGAGTGTCTCAAATTCTCGACTAGAATATCACCTCAATGTCTTGGTAAAATTATCCCAGAAACGTGCAACGCCTTGTACGCAGTTTTAAAGAAGTATATGGCGGTACGTATTTTCTTCTTAATTTAGAATAAGAGAAACGAAAAACAGTTGTTTTTGGCAAACTGCTTTTATTTTTATGAAAGGGTACATTTTCATGAATTGGCATCAAATTGAGAAAAATAAGTCGATGCTGTGTTGTCCTGAGAAAAGGATAATTGTCCACTTCCATCATTATGGAACTGTCTAAATGAACCTTGGCCGTATGTTGGAGATGGCGTGGGACATGGAGTGACATTAGGAGATTGACTTGCTAACGCTGTACATGAACCTTGTCCATATGTTGGAGATGGCGTGGGACATGGGGTAGTATTAGGACTCTGACTTGGTGATGCAGCATAACGGTATATTGGCGCTGTGTTTAGAGAACCCATTTCCGCCTCGAATAATATGTCACCTATCTTTTTCTCCGCAATGAGAGCCTGGCGTTTTTCCAAACCTCTCAACTTTACAGCAATAGTTTTTCCCAACAGATCAAAGCGGTCAAGTTGTTCCTTGGGTGTTTTGAAATGGTCACGCACTGTCATCAAGGTTTCTGTTGTGAGATCCTCATTTTTCTTTTGTTTTTTATTACAACCAGGTCTTGAGGTTATTGGCTGTTGAGATTTTCTTGACACTTCTTCAACAACCGCAGTTCTCATTTCTACAACATCATCAGCCTCTCCTGTTTCTTCAGTTGGGAGTGCATTGTCAACGGATTCCTGAAAAATGGAAGCAACTGTGTACTAGGATTGACAAAAAAAAAAAAAAACATCTAATTTACTTTAACATAACATATTTAGCTATTGTTGCCTGTTTCAGTTTCCCAACTCAGGAGAAAAATGGAAGGAGATTGCAGCTTCGTTTGAGGAAAGATGGCATTTCCCACACTGCATCGGTGCCTTAGATGGGAAGCATATTGATATAATTCCGCCACAAAACTCTGGATCGTATTATTATAATTACAAAGGCAAACACAGTATGGTTCTTCTGGCTATAGTTGACGCAAAATACCGATTCCTACTAGCAGATTTTGGAACAAATGGGCGGATTTCCGATGGCGGTGTTCTTCAGAATACAACTTTCTTTGAGAAGCTGGTGAACGAGGATTTAAATATTCCCCAACCTGATGATATTTGTGACAATTTCCAAAACGTTCCGTATGTATTCGTTGCGGATGATGCGTTTCCTCTCAGAACTGATATTTTGAAACCATTCAGGCAGGGACTATTAGATTCAGCAGACAAAGAGGTTTTTAACTATCGATTATCACGAGCAAGACATATTGTCGAAAACGTTTTTGGTATACTTGCTTCACGATTTCGTATCTTTCAGTCTCCAATTAATTTAGAACCAGAAAATATAGAAAAAATTGTAATGGCTGCTTGTGCTTTACATAACTTTTTGATTGAACATCAATCTAGTACATACGCTCCTGCAAACTTAAGGTATCAAGAAAATAGTAACGATGGATCTCTTATTTCTATTGGGTGCGATAGTTCACAATCAAATATGATTCCACTAAATCGTCAAAATCGAGGAAATATTGGCAATGACGCAAAAGAAATCAGACAACGCTTTATGGACTACTTCATGAATGATGGCGAAGTCCCATGGCAGAAGAATCACATTTTAAAAAACAAATAAAGACATTATTTGATGTTTACAAAAATAAATAGAAAATTTGTTTTTCCATGTATTCATAATATCGTGTTTTTCTTACCTCGCCACTTTCACCATCCAAATTTGAAATTGAGGTCCTTGAAATCTCTTGATCTTGCAAAAAATCAAACATGTCATAATACCAAAGTACCGGCTTGTAAATGCTATCCGTTGATGTTCCAGACTTGTATGATGCATCAACTTTCTTTTTCTCCTTCCGAAAAGCAGTTCTCAAACTGTTAATTTTATTGATCACCGACTTCTTGTCAGCACCAGGTTCAACTTCCACCAACTTTTGTGCCAATTTGGCATATGCAGCATCCTTCTTCGTACGATTATGATATTCCGGGCTCTTTACTTGCCAAAGACAAGGTTCCGATCTGTATATCGCAATAAAATCTACGATCACTGGGTTTGGCTTATTCCGCGACATCTTCAAAAAACCACCCGCACGGTGCTGAGACACAACTTGAACTGAGAACTGTGCAGTCGAACCCCCACACACGCAACGATCAGTTGAACCATTCAGTTAAAACAATTGACAATTTATTTGTCTCAGTTTAACTGTCCAGTTGAGTTAAACTGCGACTGACACACCCACACACGTTGAGGTTTAACTGCACAGTTTTCACTGAACAGTTCAAACTGTCAGTTGAAACTGTACGTGAGTGGCCGACTTAACACCTTAAACCAGGGTTACCAGGTGCTCAGTTACGTTGATTGTCATGTTGTACTGCGCAAGTCAGCAAACAATCTGGCGTAATAAACGTTAGGAATCATCAGGTATTGCCAGATTCCCGAATACCGGGCACCATAGTAACTGTTATAGTTGTCCTTCAAAGTTGTCAAATCGCCCCTATGGCGCAAATTCGCCATACCAGGCAACTGTGCTATAAACAAACCCTGTTTATCACTACTATTTGATAGTCATATGGTAGTTGTAGCCCTATCTAGCGGTCCATGATTTCTCTCAATACTATTGTATTTCTACTGGCAACAAGAATAGGGATTACAAAATCATTTATACAACAATATACAAACATGAAAAGTATGATTTGAACTATGAAACAATAATACAATTTTAATAGTTTGAACTTCTTTCATTTTTGGAATACTCTTATGTGGAATCCGCAGCTATTTTTCCCGAAATTTGGGTAGACTTAGATTTCTTAGAAATATGACATATTGGTATCGGCAACTCTGCGAATGGGAGAAACAAATCGCATTTGTTGAGCGCATCAGTCTAAGCGGTAGGCGCCAGCGCCCGTTCTGCCATCTCTCTCTTTTATCACTCTTCTACTTTACCCCGTTGTCCGTCACACTCCGACGCTGCCAAATAAGATCCTACAATCGAGTGTCTTTCACGCACCTACATACTTTTGTATATTTCCATCTCTCTTCCTCATCATAATTTATAATAATGGTTTTTCCCAAGGTATGTATATTGAGCTGAGTGGAGTCAGCTCAGGTTTTTGATGGCTACATCAAAAAGTGGGATGTTGTTTCTCGAACTCATCAATCATTGTCGTGAGGTTTTTTGATTCACCACGTTTCGAGGGATGTGATCTTCAATTAATCAAGTGACTGTACTTGAAATTTATCTGTAAATGAACGTTACTTTCATTTATTTTGATCTCTTCTTCGCTCCTGTTCCACCACACATTAACTTTGTCATTTAAAGTGTACTTGTTTCTGAAAAGTCCAACTTTCAAGACAGCCTAATTTAGATTAAACTAGTTATTTGACATATATACTAAAAAATAAAAAACAAAATAAAAAAAGCTTTTTTTTATTTATAAATGTATTTTTTTTCATTTATTTTCAATATGGATCCGACGAAGGCAAATGTATACGATGGCAACTGTAAGTTCTCGGTCAGAGTTTGGTTTAAATGAGAACGAAAAACATGTTGTATCTCGAGGGATAGCTGACTGATATCCACATTTGACTCCAGTGAAGCGACGAAATTCTGTATAAGTAAACTGACTGAGTATGACACACGCGGCAGCACAAAATCCTAAATACATTTTCATTTCCATTCATAATTACGGCTTATAGATCACCCTTGAAATTAAGTTCTGTGAATAAAATGTGCTGCACCATGTGTTTACAAAAGATACTCACATCTTACGGGTGGATTCAGTCAATAAGATCCTCAGTATACACACTGTTGTTCTGGACAAAATGTTTAACGTTTTTGGTGGAATTGTACCTTCAAACTACTTTAATTATCTCTAGAATGGTCCGTACCATGGTTATTTGCTGAACACCAATAACTACTGACGCCAGGCTACACGGTCAATAAATGTCACACTCCATGATAAATACTGACGGATCACAGTGAATATTGACCGTGTGACATTCGCCTAAGTGCCGTTTTTTTAATTGCTTAAATACAGAATTTTGTCTCAACCGTCTTATTTTTTAATATTCTCCCAAACCAAATAATGACCTAACGTAATGCGTGTGCCTGTATGAATTCATAAAATCTCACCGCAAGATTGTAAAATCGATAAAAAAAGCATTGTATCGTTTCGTGCAGAATATTAAGCAAGGTTCCAAGAAACAATTTTTATGGAATAAGTACATCGAGTATGATGACCGCGAGGCAACAAACAACAAGACGTGCCTGGGAATTGTTAATAAAGTAGAAGGTTGAAGGTTAATGAATCCTACATCCGCGAAATTTGTCATATCAGAACTAATTCGACATTTCAGAGGACATATATTTTTTACATTAAAGCAGACTTGAATGCAGAACCAGGAGGAGCAAATGCCGATGGCATATCGGTAGAAGAGAGTCAAATCACCCACATGGTGTAAAAATCGTATAGTTGAAATCATGAAAGATGACGATTACGTCATCATTTTAGTCTGTAGTAAAGAGAAAAGACAGCGATTTGTGAATATTTTTAATGAAGTTTCAGATATGTTAGACAGAGACAAAAAGAATTTTATTGTCTTAACAGACTGTATTGCTAATTTGCATGTATCCGAGAAAGATAGAGGATGTTTTCATGTTGCATCATCGATCATATTTGAAAGATGAATAGTTATGTTAAAGCAGGTTAGGTTGTTTTCGAATAATGCTTCGGTCTTTGGTGTTTCTCTCTTAAGGTATTCTAATCATAACTGCTTTTTTTCAAAAAAAAATCCCCACTAAAATTATTATTAAGGTATCACTCAAAACCATGGAATAAAATGAAAATAAAAATAATCAGTGAAATAACCTAACTTCGCACAATCATAATATAAATTTGTTGTCATTATGTTCCTGACATCGTGATTTTATCATTGACGTACGTCCATTGATTATTTCAGTACATTTTATGGTATGACGTAATAGTCATCTTTCGTGATTTTGACTATACTGTCGTCGCTAGTCAAGTAATGATAAATGATATTGAAAGTGTGAAACGTTCAAATGCAAATGCCAGCAAAGACATTCATTTAGTTCATCGCCATTACAAAATATTTACTTGGCAATATGTGCCAAAAATTGGTACACGCTCTATGTTGCGGAACAAGCGCCACGCCAGGGAAAAATGCGTCGAGTACGTATTACACTTTTATTTGAAAACTTGACATGAATATGCTTCAGTGTCGTTTAAAGATTAAGACGTATAAAGCGGCATATTTCCAATTGGAAAAAATATTTCTAAATGTTCATTTCGATGTCTTTTATTTTATTTATGATGGTACCTTTTGGAGCAAGAGTCATTAAATGTTTATTCGCAAAATTCTTGTTACCGTTTTTCTCTATGTATACGGAAATCTGCTCATATAAGCCACGTGTACGAAGGTGAATGGTGAAATGAACATGAAAAAACTGAAAAAGTACCAAAGTTCATTGTTTGTTTCATAAAATTTTAGCGAATAAATAACCAGAATATCTTTTAAATAAACTAGACAAATTTGAAAATATGAATAACTTTGTTACTATAAATCCCTAAATACTTTACGTCTCTCTACAAAAAGAACTGCTGTTACACTGCTGCCATGTTATACAATAACCTTCCACTCGAATTTCCAAATTATGCTCTGAATTATTTTAAACAGAAGTCTTAGTCACTAGCAGCACATAATCACTCCCTCACGACAATTCTGTCACCCAATATACGTGAATAGCTTTGACAATTGGTCACATACGAAATCTCTATTTACCTTTACTCAAAACATAGATTGATGATTGTTTTTTTGGATCTTTTTTAAGCCGTTTAAATAGGTTAATTTTCTTGTAACTAAATATTAGGATGTACGTTTGAGTGGAAAAATATCATGATCCCAACACTGCACCGATTCGATTCTCAAAATTTTAGTGACTTATTTATGTCTATTCTTGTATGCTGGATGTATAATGTAAAATAATCGAATAAAGGCAATTTATTATTATTATTCTCGTTTCTGTTCCAAACATATTGACCCATGACTGTATGTACATATGTTGACGTTTCTGATAATATAGAATAACATTTGGGAAAGGAAACCTTACACTACTTCCCTTATAAAAATCATCATCATCGTCACCACAACACCATGTATCACCAAATTGTAATTACTTTTACGCTAATAAAACCTTTCAACAATGCGATATTAAAACATATATTTACAATACTTGTCTGACAGCTTATTACGTAGGAAATACACATACCTACTTATGGACAATTGATGATCGATGAAAATTGTGTAAGAGTACAAAATCCAGGGGCCTGCTTTTCTATAGTACAAAGCATACGGAATTACTAATAGTAGGGTCACGCAGCGGTCAAACCAGTTTCTTTCTAGGAAGCTCTTCCGCCCAAGAGGTAGTGATTGGTCGGTAATGCTCGACGGTCATGTATTGCGTGCCCATTGAGGGAATGCAAGGCGATATTGTCAAACATTGTGAATGAAATATACATTTTATGTTGCAATTTGGAATACCTATATTCATTGACTCTAGTCATGAACTCACGGAGATACAGGGTGAGTCAACAGTATACTGCTTAGGTGGAAAATACTTTTATCTCTACAGGATGATTTATAGCTATGAGGTGACCCAAACATATATTTTTTAAGAGGCACGTAACGATTTTAAGGGCTCTGGAGACGCGTCTCTATTTGCACCTGATTGGCACACCAAGTGTGCGGATGAATCAGTTAACAACCATTATTATTAAAAAAATAAATTAATGACGGATCAAATCACTATGTTGAGTGCGGTAATGAGCTCAAAATAGCACCCAGCACATCACTAGAGATATTTTCTCGCACAAAAAACGGCATAATATTTTTAAAGACAATTAAGATTGCAAATCTTCATTCTCTTTTATGGCTTCAATATCGGTATCAAACGGGACAACGGAATTTCCCAGGTTAACTTGATTTGGTCTGTGAGGCGAAACCGTTAGACACTAGAAAGTTAAAGTAGAAATTCAAATTGATTCCAAATTTATTATGACAGCACTATAGCTTCTCAACATTTTCAAATCGAGCACCCTGTATACTTTCTTTCATTGATTCCACTTTTCACAAGCTTTCTTTTAATACAACGTTTATCGAGGTTGGTAGGACTGCTTTTCGAGCTACAACTCCCCCTTTTGTAAATCAGATATCAAGGAAAAAGAAAAATATAATATCTTTCAGAATAAAAAAAAAATGTTATAAATTCTATCTATATATCCGTATAGAGGCCGCCACCAAATATTTATTTTTTGAAAATTATCCCTATTTATAAAAAAGGGGGACAGAGATGCCGCCGTTAATTACAGACCAATTGCTATTATACTTATAATTGAACATTTTTTTTAAATTTTTGTGAAATATTGTCCTCTCAGGTTGGTTGTGAGATCTAAACCAGTAAAACTTCTAGGAATAGTACTTGATACCAGACTAAACTGGACATCACACATTGATTATTTTCATTCTAGAATGTCTACACAATTATTTGTTCTCGGGCATCTAAGTAAATGCCTCGTTAACCATACTTTGCGGGTAGTGTACTTCAGCATGTTTCTTACTCACATTGCATATGGCACAATGCTCTGAGGAAACTCAGTAGCAACTAGCAAAATTTTCTCTTTACAAAAAACGGCTTTGAGGATAATTACAAACACTAGTTATGAATCAATGTGCAGAAATCACTTCAAAAATCTACGAATATTACCACTTCCAACAATTTATATTTTTGAAGTTGTATGTTATGTGCACAGAAATCTAAATAAATATCAAGCATCTGCAGAAATAGAGACCCATGCACTACGCAATGTAAATTACCTAGGGAATCCATACTCGCGACTGAATATGACTAGAAATTAAATGAAATAACATAAGTTTGAACATATGTCTAATAGTTAATTTTCAAATTTTGCTAAAAAAAAAAAAACGTTTAACTACTGCTTCTATTCAGATGATGAGAGCGTTGATGCTATGTCGTCACTCGGATAGATAATAACTTAGTTTGTAAAACCTCACATGAACCTGTACATTGTAAATGGATAATGTGGTCAATAAATGATATAGTATGCAAAAAATCCAAATTAAACTATTTTTCCGAGCAGATGTGAAAACACTACCTGAACTAAAATGATCTCAGACGTCGGACTCCTTCGCCTGAGGTTACCGCTTTGCTAGCGATGTTAAACGTTGTGCATGAATTATAGCTCTTGGGCTGTAATCTGGAAAATACTCATAAATATTACTGAACACAGAAAACACTCTCTACGGGACATATGCATTTATGCATATTTTTTATATCAACCAATAGCGTTAAGTGACATGCTGAAACCTAATGTGACATCTGAAACGTATCAAGTGGTTTTCATGTTGATAATCCCCCATGTTTATCTGGCCAATATGTGCTCAAAGTTCTTTATTGTATATGTTTTGGTTCCAACGGTGACCCTCCCCAGTACAATTGACATCGTTTGTCAATGCTATTTATCTGTCTTTCAGGTGATATAAGCTTCTGTTGTGCCTCGCGGGCTGGAGACGCATGTTACAAAACACTGGGTTGACAGCTGAGTGATCTTACTATTAGTATGTCTTATACCTTGAACGCTATATAGCCTCTATTACGCAGCTATGAGAATAATGGACTGTTCTGGTAGTTCCTGAGGAGCGTTCTGACAACTATGGGATGAGCGTACATGGGCAGATCATCCAAGTGGTCTTTGATGAAGTCCAGTACTTTTTGTTCAATTACCTTTGGATAGCTGAGCGCTTTAAAACGCTCTTCTAACGAATCTTTTGTGTCTGTTGATAGCTGTAAGAAAATTTAGATAATGAATAGTTCCTCTTTTTGAATGCAAAATTGCCAGCTTGGCGGTCTCTAGGAATAGCTTGTTCCGAAATATTTTTATTCCAAAAGTTTCTCGAAACCTTTGATTCTTGTTTCATTACATAGCATGGAGAAGGTAAATCGAAGGTGTGGGAGACATCAGCTCAATAGTGCGACAAATGCATTGATTGACCTTTGTACATACGTAGAACTGCGACGGTCGATTATGCAAAAAGTTAACGTTAACGATAGTTATGGAAATTTGGATCTATAACTGATGGGAGGAATTCGGATAAAATATTTTCAAAATTGTGGTACTATCGGTTGTATATACGAACTTGCTTTTTTGAAATGGAACCTGTACAGCATTCAATTCTCATAGCTGTTTGAGTAATCGATCGCTGCAGTTTTACGTGGGTCACTGCGTATATGTTCTATCTCCCTATTTCCATCAAAATAGTGAAATGATATCAAGGTATGTTAAAAATAATAATGGTATTATGGTGAATACAATACATTTAATTACCTGTTGCCATTTGGATTCTTCGTACGCTTCTATTACTTCATCTATTATGGATTCGCCAATTTCACCCTGTTTGTAAAATATAATAATAATGCCTTTATTAGCTGCAGTGAGGCGAAGTTTAGCCAGACGGCTACTCTTACACTCAACCCCACAACAGGAAAAAAGAATACTTAAACACATAAACTAAGCTTCAATGAACAACTAAATAGTAACAGGCATCTCTGGAAAGCTGTACATTCATTGAAACTCAAAACTAATGTATATGTAGATAGATCTTTACCTACACAGTTGAAGAATGCCGATGAAGTAAACAATTATTTTTCTTCCGTTTTCACGCCTTCGGGCAATTGCAAGGATCTAGTTGATAAATTTAATAGTACCAAAATTAATGAAAGTGCTAGATTTGAATTTAGTTTTGCTACCCCACAAAATGTGCTAGACATTATTCTGTCCCTAAAATCTAATGCAGCAGGTTCGGATGGTATAACAGTCTCAATGCTGAAGCTTTGCTTGCCTCGAGTATTACTACCCCTGACGCATTTATTGAACTGTTGCCTGGAGGCTGGGTATTTCCCTGATGCTTGGAAACTATCTCTTGTCAAACCCTTGCCTAAATGTAAAAATCCAAAATGTCTCTCAGACTTAAGACCTATAACTTTGATTCCTGTTATATCGAAGATATTGGAGAAATTGATTAAACATCAGGTTTATCATTATTTCTCTAATAATGATTTCTTTCCCAAGTGTCAATCTGGTTTCCGCAGTGGTTTTAGTACAACTTCAGCTTTAGCAAGGGTTTTAGATGACATCATTGCTTCGCTTGATAAGGGAGATGCTTCAGCACTTGTATCATTAGATTATTCTAAGGCGTTCGATAAAATAGATCATGAGCTTTTATGTGCTAAATTGAAGTTTTTTGGTTTTTCAGACATACCTCTAATGTTTTTTATAACATATCTTTCAAATCGTAAACAAGTAGTAGAGATAGACAACACTATATCTAGTCCGATTGATATAACATCAGGTGTCCCTCAGGGTTCAGTTTTAGGGCCCTTGTTGTACTTAATTTATACTATAGACTTGGGTAGCTCTGTGAAAAACTCTTCTGTGATGTGCTATGCCGATGATACACAGATATATAAAAGCTTTAATAGTAACACTTTGCATACTTCAATCAATGAGCTTAATGATGATTTGGAGGCAATAGTAGGATACTCAAATGGTAATAATCTTAAGCTCAATAAGGATAAGTGCTCAGTGATGCTTTTTTGTCCTGCTGTCAAACGTAACACTGTATTGAATTCTCTTGATGTAAAAATCGACAAGGAGCGTCTAGCTGTCGTAAATACTACAAAAAATTTAGGGTTGATTATTGATTATACTTTACGGTTTAAGGAGCATGTTTCGTCTATCTTAAAAAAATGTTATGCAACGTTGAAGTGTTTTTATGTCAATCGCTCTATTTTGAATTTTAAAGTTAGAAAAAAGTTATGTGAGGCTATTATATTTCCAAGCTTATTTTACAGTAGCACTGTGTTCTATCATTGTCTTGATTCTATCACAAAAGCAAGACTCCAAAAACTCCAAAATACTTGTTGTCGATTTGTATTTAATCTCAAGAAGTATGATCATGTTTCCTTAAAGAGATTTCAGCTTGGTTGGATGTGTATAGAAAATGCTTGCAAGTACCATATAGCAGTGTTTACACATAAGATCATATCTTCTAGATCCCCCTTGTATCTTTATGAGAAATTTGTTTTCAGACGAAATAATTCAGACATTGATTTCAGACACAAAAAAAGACTAGAGATCCCTATGTATAAAACAACTTTATTTCGTAGTTCATACACTTACAATGCTATCCTGATTTATAACGAATTAGATGACAATATAAAGGATTGGCCAGTAAACAGATTTCGTAAGCATGTGAAACAGATTTATTTGTCATTGTAGTAATTGTGGAAAAGTTAGTTTTTAATTCTTACATTTAATTTTATTTTACGTAATATATGTGTGTATATATGTATGCTAGGAAGCTATCAAGCTCGTGGTTTTGAAGCGTCTTTTGCTTGTCAAAGTTTCCTTTGATTGAGTGTTTCAATTTAGTATTTGGGTAGGTTAAGTAGAGTAGCCAAGAGCTAGACTTCGCCTACGTAGAGGTCTTATTATGTTGTAGTGTATATAATGTGCCTAATAAAGACATTTTATTATTATTATTTTTATAAACAAAATAATAACATACCAAAAAAAAATACAATTCATAAGAATGAAAACATTGATTGCACGAGACAAATGCAGATAGTATTGCGAGAGTTTTAAATTTGAAACAAAAAATAGTAGAAAATAGTCAAACAAAAAAAATCACATGAACACAAGAAAGACTGAACTAAAACAGCTGACTTTTCATTAATTTCTTAAAAGAAACAACCTGTTTGGATCGATAGCCACTGTTGACTGCATTGTAATGCTTGACAGCATTATAGGTGTAACTTCTTTCAAAGACCGAGGTATTGTGAGGAGGCATGTTAAAATTAGCATTAAATCTAAGAGCTCTGGTAACAAAACTACCTCGGTGAACTAATTTGCTAGCGAGGTAAGCTGGTCTGTTAGATAATAGAACTTTATGCGTGAAGACGGTCAAAAGATATAAAAATAACTTATCAATTCGCAACCAGTTGAGTTCTTTGATTTTATCTGAGACGCGACTAAACTTGCGCAATCCAAAAATAAACCTACAACAGCTGTTCTGAATTTTCTGGAGTTTCCTTTTGTGGACGTAGTCTAAACATGGGTAATAAAGAACAAGAGAGTAAGAAATGACAGACAACACAAGACTTTCAGCGAGCTTTTTTCGGGTTTTAAAATTCAAGATCGATTAGAATAGAGGAGTTTCAAACGCATAAACGTTACTCTAGATAAGAAAGAGACATGCCGATCCAATCTCATATTTAAGTGAAGGGTAACTCCGAGATTCTTGGCGTAATCCACAAAAGGGATGAGTATCTCATCCAAAAAAACACAAATCATCTGCTTCATTTCACGGTAGGAGTTCTTCGAACAGTACAACATTGCAGTAGTTTTATTAGGATTGATCTTCAAGCAGTGTTTGTTACAGTAATCACCGATGTTAGCCAAATCTAAATTAACTTTAAAAGAAACTTCATCAACCTTTGATGGATCGAAACCAAACACTAACTGAGTATCATCTGCATAAGTTTGCATACTACAGTGGACTAAACAGTCTTGCAGATCGATTGTATAAATCAGATATAGTAAGGGACCTAATACTGAGTCCTGAGGACTCCTGAAGGAACTGGCTCAGAGGAGGAAATTCCCTGATCAGTTTTCACTGTTTGTTGACGATTTAGCAAGTATGACTCAAAGAACCTTAGAACTATATCTGACATTCCATAATGAGATAACTTACACAGTAGTATCTGGTGATTGACCATATCAAAGGCTTTCGAGAAATCTAACAGTACCAAGACGGTGTTGATGTGATTATCTAAATTGTGAATGATGGAATCAGTAAGATGTAATAAAGACGAAGTAGTGCTGTAACCAGCTCTGAAACCTGACTGATGTAGAGGAAATAAGTGGTTTTGTTCGAAAAACTCCACTAGTTGTGAGTAGACAGCTCTTTCGAGTATTTTTGATAGAAAGCATAATAAGGTAATTGGCCTGAGATCCGAATATTGTTCTGGATGATTTGTTTTAGCTATTGGAATAATAATACCATTTTTCCAACTGGCAGGAAAGTAACCTGTTTCGAGACAGACATTAATAATGTGAGTTATATGGTCTATGGTATCAGGCAAACATAAGCAAACCATATTTAAAGTTAGACCATCAGAGCCACATGCCGTAGACTTAATGTGAGAGATTATATTGACGATGTCTTGTTGAGTAAACAGAGGTGCATCCGGTGTATGGCGTCTATCGCTGTAAGAGTTAGAGACACTATCAATCAAATTTGGATCAGCTGCAGCTGTCTGGAAAATTGAAGGAAAATAATTATTTAAAATGTTAGGCTCAAGGAGACTGGGAGGTATCGCAACATGTTTCTGAGCTACCACATTCATCCTCCTCAGGTGTTTCCAAGCTTGACTAGAGTTAAGATTCCGGAAACGTGACATATATGCTTTTTTCTCTCTTCTAAGTGATGCAAGGGCATAATTTCTCAAATCTTTGTAGCTGGCCCAATTCTGATCAGATCTGTTATGCTGATAGACAGCGACTGCCTCGTCTCTGAGTTGAAAAATCATTTTCAAGTTAGGAGTGAGCCAGGGCACAGCAGGTTTTGTGACACGTACTGTACGTAGCGAAGCGTAGAGATCGAATAGATAAATGAGACGGCCAGTAAAAATAGAGACTTTAATATCCACATCATTCACGAAATAAATGTCATTAAGCTGCATTGATGCAATCTGCATCTTAAAACTTTGAATATCAATGCTATTAAGATTTCTATATGTTACAATTTTAGGCTCTATTTTTTATAACAAACGGAAATATCACAGTATGTGAGCCGATGATCACTAATTGAGTCTGCATTGAGTGTCCCTGACCTTTTGACGATAGTATTGTCACTAACAAATATTGGATCAAGTAATGTGGAACTGAAGGCTGTAACACGTGTAGGCTCATGAATGACTTGAATGAAATTGAATGAATCAAAGCAGCTGCTGAGGATGTTGTTATGAGCAAGCAAGTATCGCCCAAGAATATAATGTTGTCATATTGGGGAGTGAAAAATGAGATAAGATTTTCTAAACACTGGATGGCTTGATGTGGTGGCCTATATATAACAACAATTAAATATCATGTTCAATGTACTCAAAATGCTGAAGAAATAATGAATAGGAATGATAAAATTATTAGTATACGAAATTTTGTCAGCAGTGGTGGATAAAACTTTGTTTGATTACTACTGATGCCAGATTACATCCTTTACGACTTCGGCTTCGTAGGACGTAATACAATTGTTTAACGTATTGTAATGCCCTCGTAACTGGAACCTTCGTAACATCGACGCTTAGGCAACCAATTATGCCGCCACGTATCGAGGGCGTTCAACACGGATCGGTAAGCATCTACCGACATCGAGAAACATCGAACGCCATCTAGCAAGCTTCGATTAAGGCTAGAGAAAACGCGGAATTGCTCTGGACTTGCCGAATGGAAGATAAATACAAACAGATGGCAGAGCAGGGGCATAGCCATCGATGAGCCAGCAACAGCGCAAGACACGATCGTCCAGTCGACACGGTTATACATTTGTAATAAATTAGTGTGATAGCAGACTTGATAGTAAAAACGGTATTTTGGCTACAGTGTCCTTGAAGATAATCAATGTAATTCAATAATCACGCGTCCGAAAGATTATTCGAGATGAAACGATTACGTAGCGTCACCGATGAGAATTTGTCACAGCCATCTCCTTTCCGAAATCATTAGAAATTTACTTTGAAAAGGTGAGTGTCTCATAGATGGCGTTAAAGCCAACTATATATGAGCATATAGTTATAGCACCATCTACGAGACACTAACCTTTTCAAAGTAGGTTTCTATTTATTGCGTAGAGGAGACTCTCATAGATGACGCTATAATATCTCATTTCATCTCCGATTATATTTCGGACACTGGATTAGGTAGTATCAGGTATCTTCAGGTGGAATGCGCTAATCAACGGTAATACGCCGACAAACTTAGATACCTTTTTTTAGCAACAAACTTTGTATTTTTAAGAGGGAAAACTCTTAAGTACAAATTATTGTCATTTTCGTTCTGATCGCAAAGTTGTAACACTGACGGTGCACGTGAGGTCTGAATTTCCCATTTAAAAATAACTCACATTTGATATTGAAGATATCGAAAAAGACAATGAGGAATAAATTTTATATTAGTAGATAATAAACTATGCTCGAAATAAATGATTTCCCCCTTTTGGACTGTAGTATAACTTACCAGAGAAGACGTCATAAGTTTGTTGAGTTCATTCAGTAAATCGTTAAACTTGTCATGGTAGATGGCATACGCCCAAGGTTCTTTGAAATATTCGAAGAGATCTGTGATAAGCACCGTTTCGAATCTCAGCTGGATGTTGTTTAATAACTTCTCGTGCTTACCCCAGAGGCAGTAGATGTTGTAGACATCAATAGGCTATGAACATATTATATCATAAGAAGTAAAGATACGTTTTTGCGTAACAGCTAAATTATAGATAGAAAAATCGATAAGTATACTTTATTGTCTGAAGAATACGGTCATTAGTAATGACAAAGCTAACTTTAAACTGAACTATAACATAATTACATTTAAGTTCACAGCGGAATGCCTTAAATTGTTATTTTTTTGGTAGCATATAATATATAAAATTCATAACTAATGAACAAAGTCTGATTGCTGAAGTTAAGCATACTCCAAAGATAAGTGATCACTCATGGATATATTTCGAAGTGGGAAATATGTTCAATGAAAATACTAGTAAAATGAAAGAAATTTCAGTCATTGAATTCATAAGATTACGAGAAACACTTTGACAACACAATATACCTGAAATTATCGATAATGCCGACAACTACTTCGAACAAATTATGAATAATATGGATAAATATATTAGTAAAGCTATGGTCAAGAAAATAATATATGAAAGAGTGAACCTAACACCCTGGTTTTCACAGATATTCAAAGAGTCTAAATTAAAACGCGATAACGACTACAGAAATTTTTCAAAGTGAAAATGATTGGAAACAATATACAAAATCAAGAAATGAGTGTGTAGCAGTTCTCAGGACGGAAAAGAAAAAATACTATGATAAGAAGATCGATAGCAATAAAAATAATTCTAAAATGATGTGGAAAACATTAAAGAATATTGTTTCTCCTAATAGAAAGACTGAATTATCTAAAATGCGTTTCGAAGATGGGGTAGTGACAGACAAATTAATTATAGCAGAAATAATGAACACTTATTTTATAGAAAGTGTAAATCAAATAGTGAAGACGATTGATGACGCTGATCCAAACTTATGTCCATTACATGTTTGTCAGAATTCATCAATGAAGTAATTTAGGACAATTAACATCAACAATCTAAGAAAAGCGATCTCAAAATTGAAATCTAATAAAAATCCAAGTGAGAATCTCTCAAAAAATATTCTAAATGATTATTTCAATATAATTGGATAGAAATTATTATTATTTGTGAATCATTGTTTAGTACATGGTGAATTCCCATCAAAATTAAAGTGTTCCACCATTACTCCTGTGCCAAAAGTTCAAAATTCTCAGCTGTATACAAATATGCGACCGATTAATGTCTTGCCCGATGTCGAGAAGCTATTCAAAGGGATAATATACGAACAAATCATAGAATCCATTGAAGAAACAAAAATTTTGATAAAAAATCAAGCTGGATTTAGAAAAAATGTTCCACAGAAACGGCAATGCAGATGGTGGTGGAAGACTGGAGAGGAAGTATAGATGAGAAAGAATATATTGTAACAATATTTTTAGACTTCAAAGGGGCATTTGAGACTATAGATAGGGAAAAATTGATAATGAAATCGCGTCACTATGGCTTTAAGGCCCGTATCGTCAGTCGTCCCTACAATTGTAGGGCGCGTTTATGGCCTCCTTGATTGTCATCCTGCTTTCTCTCCTTCAAAAATTTCTAGATTACACTTGTCCCGTGTCAGCGTCAGCGCTCTCCTATTGTGAAGATATGTTTTCTTTTTAAATTGTAGGAAATTTCAGGCTGATAAAACATGATATAACTCAAAAGCAAGCACAATTTGATGCAAATAGATGTTTGTGACATAACCTCAAAATAGAGTTCTGACACGGAGAAGCAGAAAACTATGACAATCAAGGAGACCACAAAGGCGCCCTACAATTGTAGGGACGACTGACGATACGGGCCTTAAGGATCAGTATTGCACATTTTACAAAATTACTGTAAATAGAAGTAAAACAACTAACGTTGGAAATGTTATGTCAAGTGTTCAAAATATATCAGTAGGGGTGCCACAGGGGAGTAAATTAGGGCCGTTACTATTTATTATTTATATAAATGATATCTCTGATATTTTAGAACACTGCAAAATTTAAATATTTGCGGACGATACACTCTCTATATATATATATACAGGGTGTCCGCAAAGTTGGGGTTTTCCTTTTCAGAAACAACTACCCTTGAAATAACAAAGGTGATGTGTAGTGAAACGAGGGCGACCAAGTAAAAAAAAATAAAGGAAAAAGTACTCACTCTCCAGTTGACGAGAAGGGCTAAGTACGTCTCTGCCCGAAATCATACCGCTCCAACAGAAAATGAAATCAGCTCGTGCGCTACCGAGCAGACGCAGGCAAACAAGGAAGGCAAAATGTTGCGTAAAAAGTCTAGATATTGCATCCCGTCCAATCGATTTGGGAGAATAAATGGTCCAATGAGCATACCGTTCATCATGCCAGCCCAAACATTCACCGAAAATGTTTGTTGAAAATGTGCCCGACGGACAGCGTGCGGATTTTCTACTGACCAAACATGAGTGTTGCGAAAGTTATTCACCCCATTACGCGTGAACGTAGATTCGTCTGTCACCAATATGCACTTCAAAAAGGCCGGATTATTGTCATGTTGATGCAACAACCACTCACAAAACCGCACTCTTGCTGGAAAATCGTCAGGTTGAAGGGCTTGTACACGTTGGACGTGAAACGGATACAGCCCCTCTTCACGCAGCATTTGCCACACTTTAGTTTTTGATACTTGCACTTCTCTAGCCACGTCTCTAGTGCTTGTTGAGCGATTCTCGTCTACGCGATTACCTCTAGACGCGTGACCGTAACCGTCGGTTGAAGGTTGCATACTGACCCCGACCCAGTTCTGTCGTCGGGATGAGCTAGTGTCCTAGTACCAGTCGGGGATGTCGCGGCTACAGGACGGTATTCAGATATTTTTGATGTTGCAGAGCCCTTTATCTCGGTTCCCTTAAGACATTGGTGTATATGGTACTAAGAAAAATTGCTTATGTTTTCAAGATCTACACGTCGTGTAAAGGAAAACCCCAACTTTGCGGACACCCTGTATATATATATAGAAAATAATCATGCGGAGAAATGTATATAACAAAAAAATAGGAAAATAATGGGCAAAATCCGCGAAAAGGAGGACAGTGGATTCTAGCAGAAAATAGGATAGGTAACCCGAGCGATACGTATTTCTGCTGGTTGGCTTCATCAGGCCCGAAATGAATGCACATATGCAACTACAAAAGTAGATACACATGCTCATACATCCGGATACGGGTGTAAGCTGAGGAAATAAAGATAGATGGGAAAAAATCACATACGAAGTCCACAACAAGAGCCAACCTACACATTGTAGTATAAAATAGCTAGAAGACCTCGAATTTTCAAGGCGACATCTAACCACAACCACGCGGCCGGTTATAGCCACTTGCTGTGGTACTTCAAGCCCAAAGGATCTACAAAGAGAAAATAATCATGCGGAGAAATGTATATAACAAAAAAATAGGAAAATAATGGGCAAAATCCGCAAAAAGGAGGAAAGTGGATTCGAGCAGAAAATAGGAAATAGGATATATATATATATATATATATATATATATATATAGGTGAAAAATTAAAGCTTCCGCCTTTTGTTGGGTACTTCGACAAAATTTAAGCAAAGAGGACTCTTTATACTTTTTTAATTCTCTCTAGCTTTCAATGGACTTTGCCATCATCATCAGGAGCTGCAATTACAATGATAACAGTAGCAACAAAAGTGTAAAATGAATTTAAATTGAATCAACTTACAGTAGTATGTGAGGATGTTGCTAATTGTTGTTTTCGTATAGGATGAGGGAAACGTCCAGTAACATGGTGAGAGCTGGATACATGGTACAATGGTTAAAATTATATAAAATATGACAAGACAAGTTAAAGACAGATTAAAAATTATTTAGAAAACATTAGAGCATTACGTCGTGAAGCCACTTGATGATTGCACAAAATGGTGGTCATGGAATAATGAGTGAGATGAACCTTTGACAGAAGGCCGAAGGTTGTCAATGTCTGTGTTGAAAGATGGAACGAATTGTGGGCGTGTGCCAAAACGTTGCCAAATCACTTCAGATGATGTGATTTTCAGAATGTTATGTAAGAAATTGTTAAACCGACCAGAGGCAGTTGAATAAACTATATTTTAATTAATGGGAATTTTAAATTAACAATTATTAATAAATCGTGAGAAGAGAATTATTAGATTTTGAGTGGAATGAAATTTGTTGGTGGAATCGGCCAAAACACAGATTATATTTATGGTTGTGAAAAGTCGAAATTTGGGGAGATATGTAAGTTCTCCAATTTTTCGCAGTTTAGCAAATATGAGTAAATGACACTCAGTTGTTTAATATCTGTCTTTTTGTTGATACAGTTGTTATTCATGAAAATGTGGGACATTTCCAGGAATAAACGTTTGGAAAGGTGTTTTTCTTTATCAAGAACTTTGATACTTGTGTAATTCATAGAATGCCCTGTTGTGTTAACATGAGATGCTAGAGCGCATCTTTCAGGATGAAGCCTAGCATCACTTTTGTGTGATGTAATCCTTCCTTTAAGAGATCTGGAGGTCTGACCTATGTATATTTGGTTGCAGTTGTTGCAATTGATGGAGTAGACTGTGTTAGTTAAGCCAAGCAGCGGGACTTTGTCTTTCATTTTTGAAAAAATGCGGTTTATAGTGCTTGCGCTCTAATGTTTTCTAAATAATTTTTAATCTGTCTTTAACTTGTCTTGTCATATTCTATATAATTATTATAACCATTATACCATGTATCCAGCTCTCACCATGTTACTGGACGTTTCCCTCATCCTATACGAAAACAACAATTAGCAACATCCTCACATACTACTGTAAGTTGATTCAATTTAAATTCATTTTACACTTTTGTTGCTACTGTTATCATTGTAATTGCAGCTCCTGATGATGATGGCAAAGTCCATTGAAAGCTAGAGAGAATTAAAAAAAGTATAAAGAGTCCTCTTTGCTTAAATTTTGTCGAAGTACCCAACAAAAGGCGGAAGCTTTAATTTTTCACCTAACTGGTCTAGACGACAATGACCACGTCTCAAGTTATATATATATAGCACATAAGCATTTGGACAC